CTAAATATTTTTCATATAGGTATATACGTGGATTAGTATTCACACATATATTCCATTGCTTTGTTGCTTTAGAAGGCTCAGAAATATCGACACCCCAGTAGAAATGAGCACATCTAGTACCCAGATGATGGTTATTAATATCACTGTATAAAAAGACACATGATGACATGGTGATTAAGGGTATATCAAAGAACACAGAAGCACACCAAAAACGTTCCCAATGGCCAAAAAATTAAGCAATGTAACAAAATAGTATTGGATTATTATATAATGTAAAAAATACATATCCAGGGCCCCTGGGTAGCTCAGCCAGTTAAGCGTCGGACTTCGGCTCAGTTCATGATATCACAGTTCGTGAGTTCGAGCCCCGCATCAGGCTCTGTGCTGACAGCTCAGAGCCTGGAGCCTGCTTCGGATTCTGTGTCTCCCTCTCTCTCTCTGCTCCTCCCCTGCTCATGTTCTGTCTCTCTGTCTCCTTCAAAAATAAATAAAAACATTTAAAAAAATTAAAAACACATGTTTATAAGTCTTTATTGGTATAAATAAATGACTGAATAAATTAATAAATGAAAGGGAATAGACAAAAATGTCTGCAGAAGAATTCCAAATAATTTATGTAGATACCGCTCCCTCAAGGAGTGGAAGCATAACTTTCCATTCCTTAAGTGTATACTGGATAGCAACTTCCTTCCAAAGAATATACTATGGAAACATGTAAGGAAAAGATTAACTTTACACTGCAACACCTGACAAACTACCTCAGCCAGGTGATCAAGGTTAACATCTTGTGCTCTTGAATATGACATTTGTGGTGAGCATAGCATAACATAGTGAGAAGTTGAATTACTATGTGGTATTCCTGAAACCAATGTAGCATTGTGTGCCAACTATACTCAAAACAAATTTTTAAAAATATATGACATGATGAAAATGGCACTTCACCTCTTTGATATTCCTGCTAAAGCCCATAACCTCAGTCTAACCATGAATAAAATATCAGACAAATCTCAATTGAGAGGCATTCTATAAAATGATCAATATTCTTTAAAAGTGTCAAAGTCATTAAGGACAAGGAAAGTCTAAGAAAATGTCATAGCCAAAAGGAACCCAAGAAGACAGGACTATTAAATGTAATATGGTTTCCTAGATACAAACCTGAACCAGAAAACAGACTTTATTTTTTTTTTAAGTTTATTTGTTTATTTTGAGTAAAAGAGTGAGAGAGAGAGAGAGAGAGAGAGAGCAAGTGGGGGAGAGGCAGAGAGAGAGAGAGAGAGAGAGAAAGAGAAAATCCCAAACAGGCTCTGTACTGTCATTGCTGAGCCCAACACATGGGGATTGAACCCTGAGATCATGACCTGAGCCAAAATCAAGAGTCAGATGCTAAACCTGCTGAGCCACCCAGGCACTCCTAGGTAAAACATAGTAACTGTGAATAGAGGATAAACTTTAGTTAACAATGATGTATCAATATTAGTTTATTAATTCTAACAAATGTATCTACTAATACAAGATGTTAATAATAGGGGAAACTGAGTTTGAAATATATGGCACTCTGTACTATCTTGACAGTTTTTCTATAAATCTAAAATTCTTCTAAAATAAAAAGTATATCTAAACTTTTTTTTTAACCATCCAATGAAAGTAGGGTGGGAAGGAGAGAAATAAAGATACAAAGAAAACTGGGTGGGGGCACCTGGGTGGCTCAGTCGGTTGAGCGTCTGACTTTGGCTTAGGTCACGATCTCTCTGTCCCTGAGTTCAAGCCCTGCATGGAGCCCTGTGCTGACGGCTCAGAGCCTGGAGCCTGTTTCAGATTCACTATCTCCCTCTCTCTCTGCCCCTTCCCCACTCATGCTCTAGCTCTCTCTCTCTCTGTCAAAAATAAACATTAAAAAATAATTTAAAAAAGAGAGAAAGAAAGAAAGAAAGAAAGAAAGAAAGAAAGAAAGAAAGAAAAGAAAACTGGGTGGCCCAGTCAGTTAAGCATCTGACTTTGGCTCAAATCAGGATCTCATGGCTCATGAGTTCAAGCCACGCTTCAGGCTTGCATGGACAGCTCAGAGCCTGGAGCCTACTTTGGATTCTGCGTCTCACTCTCTCCCTCTCTCAAAAGTAAATAAACATTATGGGGCACCTAGGTGGCTCAGTAGGTTGAGTGTCTGAATTTAGCTCAGGTCATGACCTCACAGTTCGTGGGTTCACGCCCCAAGTTGGGATCTGTGCTGACAGCTCAGAGTCTGGGCCTGCTTCAGATTCTGTGTGTGTCTCTCTCTACCCCCTCTCCCACTCGTACTCTGTTTCTATCTCTCAAAAATGAATAAGCACTAAAAAAAAATTTTAATCAAGATTTTAAAAATTTGAGAAATAAAGAAAAAGAAAACATGAGACAAATAGAAAATAAGTAGCAAGATGGGAAAATTAAACCTAATCATGCCAAAATTTACATCTATTATAAATTGGCAAAACAGTATAGAATTGTTGAATCATTATATTGTATGCCTGAAACTAATATAACACTGTATGTTAATAACTTCAAAAAAAATGAACACAATACTTTAACAGGCAGAGATGCCAATCTTATATGACAATAAAAAAAAAAGCCAAATAGTTGCATGAGATTTATGAAAAAATATTAATCTCCCAAATGATTTAATATTTCTAAAGGAGTATCCACCTAATTACATGAAGCAGAAACTGATATCGCTAAAGGGAGAAATAAGCAAATCCACAGTCATACATAGAGATCATGATAATCATTTTTCAGTAATTGATGGTATTAGTAGCTAAAAAACAATCAGTAAGTATTCAGAAGATTTGAATTTTAAGTATTTATAAAATACATTCTTTTCTAGTACATATGTAACATTTTGCCAAGATGAATTAAATGCTACTTCATAAAGCAAAATTTATTAATTTTGAAAACCATATGATAATCTCAATATACACAGAAAAATAATTTGACAAAATTAATCAGTTCAGGATTAAAAAAAAAAAACTCTCAAACTAAGTATAGAAGGGGATTTACCTCATCTCATAAAGGGTATCTATGAAATGCCTATAGGTAATGTCATAATTAATTGTGAAATACTGAATACTTCCTTTCAAAGTGCAGGAATATATAGAGAACACATATTCCTCCCCCTCTACTCTACACAATACTGGAGGTCCTACCTAGTACACTAAAGAAATTAACTAAATAGATAAGCAAGCAAAAAGGAAATAAAGAAAAAAGACTTATAATTAACAGATGACATGAATGGGTATATAGAAAATGCAAAAGATTTTTTAAAAACCTATTAGAACTTATAAATAAATTGATCAAGTTGTAGTACACAAGGATGATATAAAAATATTAGTTTTTATGAACAAACAAAAACAGACTCTTAAATACAGAGAACAAACTAGTGGTTTGCAGAGGAAAAGTGGGGAGGTTGGTGAAATAGATAAAGAAGATTAAGAGGTACAAGCTTCCAGTTATAACATACTGAGCTGAAAGGTACAGCATAGAGAATATTGTCAAGAATATTTTGATACCATAGTGTGGTGACAGATGGTAACTACACTTACCATAGTGAACACCGAGTAATGTACAGAATTGTCAAATCACTATATTGTACACCTGGAACTAAAATAGTATTGTATGTCAGTTCTACTTCAATAATACATGTTTAAAAATCAATTGTTTTTACATTCTAACAAAACACAAATGAAAATGTAATTATAATAACCTCAAAACATAGTATACCTAACCAAAAATTCAAGGAAAGACAACTAAGATTTCTATAGTAAAAACTACAAAATATTGATGACAGACGTTGAAAATATGTAAGTGACGGGGCGCCTGGGTGGCGCAGTCGGTTAAGCGTCCAACTTCAGCCAGGTCACGATCTCGCGGTCCGTGAGTTCGAGCCCCGCTTCTGGTTCTGGGCTGATGGCTCGGAGCCTGGAGCCTGTTTCCGATTCTGTGTCTCCCTCTCTCTCTGCCCCTCCCCCGTTCATGCTCTGTCTCTCTCTGTCCCAAAAATAAATAAACGTTGAAAAAAAAAAGTTAAAAAAAGAAAATATGTAAGTGAACAGATATACTGGCTTCATAGTCTGGAAAACCTAATGTTGTTAAGATGGAAGTCATCTGCAAATTGATCTATAAATTCATGCAATTCCTGTCAATGCTTTTTTTTTTTTTTTTTGGTAGAAATTGATGAGAAAATTCTAACAATCAAATGGCTATTCAAGGAATTCCAAATAGTCAACATCAGTTTTGAAAAAGAAGAATATAGTCAAGAAACTAGCACTACTAAAGTTGCATTAAATTTAGAAAAAGTTGGTATTGGTGTAAAGATGAAAATGAATTAAAATAATGTAGTATTGGGGACACCTATGTCACAGTGGGTTAAGCATCCGACACTTGATTTCAGCTCAGGTCATGATCTCACGGTTTGAGCCAGCGTAGGGCTTGCATTAAAGCCCAGACTCTGCTTGGGATTCTCTTGCTCCCTCTCTCTCTGACCCTCCCCTGCTTGCTCTCTCTTTCTCTCAAAATAAATAAATAAACTTTAAAAAAAATAATAATGTGGTATTGGACTTCCACTTCCAGCAAACAGAGCCCAGGTTTACTCTCCTACCCAAAACAAGCGAAACACTAGGGAAAGTCAAGTGAAACATGAGTTTTAAATTCTTGGGACTTCCCTAAGAGAAAGTAAAAACTGAATTTGGCCTTACTATTGCCCCACTTTACTATTTGAAGAAAGCTTCTAGGCCATTGCACAGTGAGGAAGAAACCAATGGAGACTGCCAGTCCCCCGGAGTTGAAGAGACTATGTCGAGTCCAGGGCTATCAAGATAACCGGTCTTCAGGGCATAGTGGGGGTCTTCAGTGCACATGCAGAGGATTCCAGAGATCTACAGAGGATCACACCTCAGTCTTTAGCCAAGTACAGATGTCCAAATGCAGATGAGGCCAAAAAAAGAATATTCTTAAAGAAATAGAGGGAACAATACCTGATGTTCACACAGAACACAGACTAGTGCCAGTTCCCACATATCATATATGCATCCTAGAGGGGAAAAAAAGAGTATTAATGAGTATTAAAACAATATAAAAATATCCAGTAGCCAAAGAGGTAAACTTGGTAGTATCTGCCATTTAATGAACAATTAACAGGTATATACAAAGAAGCAGGAAAATACAATCTACGATGAGGGAAAATATTAGTAATTCATAACTGACCACCAAATGGTACAATCAAATTAGCAAAAAAGAGCATTAAAACAGTTATTACAAGTGTGTTTTATACATTCAAGAAGCCAGTAGAAAATGGAGCATGTTAAGTGGAAACATGAAGACCCAGAAATAAAAACTAAAACGTTCAAGATTTTAAAAAATATGCTGCTTTAGATTAACAGCAAATTAGAATTTATGGAAGAAAAAATGAGTGAATTTAAGGCCAAAGTAATAGAAGCTGTTCAAAATGAAATGCAGAAAGAACAGTATTGAAAATAGGAACATGGGGTCAGTGACAACTTGAAGCAGCCTACTACACATTGAATTAGAATCCCTGGAGTGAAATAAAGAGAGGAACACAAAAAATGTCTACATTCTCTAAAGTGAGTGAAAAATATGAATCCTCAAGTCTACAAAATAAAATGGAACTCGAGCATAAGAAACATGAAGTAAACTGTATCAAGATGCATCATAATTAAGTAGTTCGGAAGCAGTGGTAAATCAAGAACCTTAGAATTAGCTTGAGCCAAAAAAATACATTCCTTAGAGAAGAACAAAGATAAGAATGACAAAAGACTTCTACTAGAAAATGTACACGCCAGATGATGGAAAACTTTTAAAATACTAAAATAAAAGTAATTCTTAACCTAGAAGTCTATGTCTAGCAAAAATATCTCTGAATTACAACAGAAAAATAAAGTTTCTCACATATACAAAAGCTGAAAGGATTTATAACCAGGAAACCTGCACTATATGAAATGTGAAGGAAAGTCCTTCAGGCAGAAAGAAAATTCCATCAGATTGAAATATGGCTTTATATAAAGGACCAGAGAAACTCAGATAGGATAACTGTGTGGTTGAATGTAAAAAAGATTTTCTTTTTAAGATTTGAAGACCTTTTAATGATATTTAGCAGTTTAAAGCAAGATGAATAACAATGTATTATGGGGTTTATACCATCTGTAGAAGTAAAATACATAACAACAATAGCACAAAGGCCAATAGAAGAAAAATGGAGAAACACCAATTTATGATTCTTTTGTTATATGTGAAATTATAATATCACTTGGAGGTAAAGTATAAACTATCATTTATTATTTATAAACAATAAGTTAAAGATGTATACTAAAAACTTAAAACAAATAATAAAAATTTATAGCTAATAAAGTCATAAAATAAGATAAAATTGAAAATAAGATAAAACAGAATATATAATTAATACAAAAGAAGTTAGGGAAAAAAAAAAGAAGAAGAAGCCAAAGAACAATTATGAGAAAAAGGAAACAAATGGATGGATGATAAATGTGTACCCAAACATAACAGGTATCGCATTAAAAATCAGTGGTCAAAACACCTATTTAAAAGTATTTCAGATCAAATGTAACAGCAAGACCCAAGTATACACCATACGTTATCCACAAGAAAACTACCTTAGGTATAAATAAACAGCTTAAGAGTAAAAGGATATGTTAATAAATTAAATAATTTAGACAAGGGATGCCTGGGTAGCTCAACCGGTTAAGCATCCAACTTCAGCACATGTCATGATCTTGTGGTTTGGTTTTGAGCCAGAATAGGGCTCTGTGCTGACAGCTTGGATCCTGGATCCTGCTTCAGATTCTGTGTCTCTCTCTGTCTCTTCCCTCTCCTGCTCATGCTCTGTCTCTCTCTCTCTCTCTCTCTCTCTCTCTCAAAAATAATATAAACATCAATCAATCAATCAATCAATCAGTAATTTAGACTAGAAAATTCTAGAAACGAATGTAACAAAATGCCTCAAAAAAAAAAAAAAAGCTAAATAGACCTAAATAACAAGAATATACATTGAATTAGTAATTTTAAAACTTTCAGTAAAGAAAAAACCTAGACTCAGTTTCACTGGTGAATTCTACAAGATGTTTAAAGAGTTAACAGTAATCCATCATAAACTGTTCCAGAAAAACTAGAAGAGGTAACATTTCCCAATTTGTTATACAATGACACCCTGTGAACCTGATACCAAAACCAGAAAATGGCATCATAAAAAAACTACAAATCATGTTCCTTATGAACATAGATGTAAAATTCTCAACAAAATACTACCAACCAAATATGGTATGAGATAAAAAGATTATGTACCATGGCCAAGTGAGATTTATCCCAAGAATTCAAAATTGCAAAAAACAATGAAAATAATACACGTCATTCATAAAATAAAGAATTAAAACCATATGATTATCTCAATAAATTCAGAAAGTATTTAATAAAAGACTTTTTTTTTTTTTAAACCAACAAAGTCGTAATAGAAGGGAACTTCATGACCTAGAAAATGTTAAGGTTAAAAAACCCCACAACTAACAACACAATTAATGGAAAATAACTGAATGTTTTGTCCTTGAGATCAGGAACAAGACATAAAACGTTGTTTTGGAGATTTTAACCAAGACAATCAAAAATTAAAATAAAAAGTAAAAGGCTTCCATATTGGACAGGAGGAAGTAAAAGTGTCTTTACTTGCAGATGACAAGTACTTGTACATAAAAACTCCAGAGGAATCCACACACACAAAAAAAGCTCTTAGAAGTAATAAATGAATATAGCAAGGTTGTAGAATACAAGATCAATATAAAAAAAACAATTATGCTTCTATATATTAACAATAAACAATGCAAAATAAAATCAAGAAAACAATCCATTTGCAGTAGAATTAATAATAATAGAGAGGGAAGATGGCGGCGTAGGAGGACGCTGGGCTCACCGCGCGTCCTGCTGATCACTTAGATTCCACCTACACCTGCCTAAATAACCCAGAAAACCACCAGAGGATTAGCAGAATGGAGTCGCCGGAGCCAAGCGCAGACGAGAGGCCCACGGAAGAGGGTAGGAAGGGCGGCGAGGCGGTGCACGCTCCACGGACTGGCGGGAGGGAGCCAGGGGGAGGGGCGGCTCGCCGGCCAAGCAGAGCCCCCGAGTCTGGCTTGCAAAAAGCGGAGGGGCCTGACGGACTGTGTTCCGACAGCAAGCGCGACTTAGCGTCTGGGAGGTCATAAGTTAACAGCTCTGCTCAGAAAGCGGGAAGGCTGGAGGACAAAGGGAAGGAGAGCTGCTGAGCCCCCTGACGACAGAGATCAGTTTGGTGGGGAACAAAGGCGCTCGCCAGCGCCATCTTCCCCGCCCATCCCCCAGCCAAAATCCCAAAGAGAACCAGTTCCTGCCAGGGAACTTGCTGGCTCCGCGCAAACACCCAACTCTGCGCTTCTGCGGAGCCAAACATCCGGCAGCGGATCTGACTCCCTCCTGCTGCCACAGGGCCCTCCTGAAGTGGATCACCTAAGGAGAAGCAAGCTAAGCCTGCCCCTCCTGCCCCCATGCACCATGCCTACCCACCCCAGCTAAGACGCCAGATCCCCAGCATCACAAGCCTGGCAGTGTGCAAGTAGCCCAGACAGGCCACCCCACCCCACAGTGAATCCCGCCCCTAGGAGAGGGGAAGAGAAGGCACACACCAGTCTGACTGTGGCCCCAGCGGTGGGCTGGGGTCAGACATCAGGTCTGACTGGGGCTCCGCCCACCAACTCCAGTTATACACCACAGCACAGGGGAAGTG